TGGCCCATCTCGAAGGGTGAGAGCGTTTCCATGTTTTTCCTTGGACCCTGTTTTTCCATCCCCCCTGCTTTCTGGCCCTTCTCCAGCCAGACCACCTGCAGTGTGTCAGTCAGTCAGTCTAAGGCAGGGTTGGGAGCCTCAGGACTGGTGGAGGCACAGAGGCGGAAGGAGTGGCGTCCAGTGTCAACATCATGTGTGATGAGAACCTTCAGTTCTCTCTGCAAACGCTGTGCTGAGTATCTGATTGGTGTTTGGGGCACGGCACACGGACCCTCCCACAGGAGTACACAAAGCTTTATAGAGTGCTGATTGTGGGTATTCCAGAGGAGAAGCGCGGGAACCTGAGAGAGGGTAGGGGCCGGGGGTGCAGGAAGGCCGCCCCCAGGGAGTGATGTTCCGGCGGGCCCTGAGGAGTGCGCTGAAGGGGCAGTGAGGGTGTTCTGGGGAGAAGCATCACTGGGAAGCTGTGAATGGTTGGCCTCGTGAGGAACATGTAGCCTCCCTGTCCAGGCACCAACCTTGTGCCTCGGTGGCATAGTGGGTGACGCACTGAGCTGCTAATCACAAGGTGAGCAGTTCCAAACACCAGCTGCCCCTCTGGAGGGAGACAAGGCTTTCCACTTCTGTAAAGACCGACGTCCTACCCTGTCCCCGTGAGTCGCATCAACTTACTTGATGGCAGTCAGTTAGAGTGAGGGAATTCCTGCTCCGGCCTGGTCCTTTTAGGCCTTTGGAGCCAGCTTCCAGGCCCCATCATTGGCTCTTACTGCCCAGGGCACCAGGATCTTGCCATCTGGGGTCCGGGTCACTGGTCACCATCATTGACCCTGTATTTACACAGCCTCTCATAGATCGGGCACCGATCTGGATGCCCCTGCCTTCACAAAGCTGGCTAGTCAATAAACGCTCCACAAGTAAGCAAGTTAATTTTGTTCAAAGGCAAGCGAGGCAGTGCCAAACGGGGCAGAAGTGACTGCCCAGGAAAGAGCAGCTCTGTGCGTGCCCACGAGGCCACCAGGCGCCTCCATTCCCAGGCAAGAGGGTAGAAACCAGCCTGGGCCTGGGAGCTCAGTGGGGACAGGGGGGCCACCAGTTAGAGCTGGAGCATGGCGAAGCTCTCGGCCAGCCAGGCATGGTCTTCGGGCTGCTCTTGGAGAAAGCTCCCTGGGATGCAGGACTTGTGTTTTCTCCTGAGATGAGAGGGCAGGTGGGCAGAGGGGATGTGCAGGCTGAGGACAGGAGGCTGAAGAAAACCTTCAAAGCTAGCTGGGGCTGCTACGAGCCCTTGGGTCACGCACTGAAGTGCCTCTGGTGCCACAGTATTCTCTCTGACCTTTGCTCTTTGTTCTCTCCTTGCTCAGTGCATTGTGGGCGTGGCTGGCGGGGCCACGCGGGCCGCACTGACCATGCACCAGGCCCGAAGAGGTAACATGGCCGATGTGTCCGCCAAGGACAGCAGCCAGGTGAGCGGCAGAGACCAGCTGGGAGGACAGGGAACGGAGCCACACCACATGGCAATCTAAGCAGCATTAGCAAAAAGTGGGTGGGGGGAAGCGGGGCACCACAGGGCGGGGCCCATGTCCCAGGCTGCCCTGGGATGCCTTCTGCGGGGATGCTGGGCCAGCAGGGCCTGCTAAAGTGTTGAGTGGAGACCTCCTGCCAGTGACCCTGGCCACCCCACCAGCTGGGTGCTTTTGGGCACCTAACTTCTTTCGTCTGTGGCACCATCTGCCGGGCTGGGGCTCCGGCCCAGAGAGGCAGGGGCTGAGAGGCTCAAACTGAGCTTGCTGCCATCAGAGTCCACGCCTGGCACTGGTGTGCTCTAAGAGTCAGAGCAGGGAGCGCCCATGTTCTTCCCGCATGCTCCTACCCCTGCCCAGGGCCACCCAGGGGCTTCCCTCCAGACTCCCCAGCTGTGGCCAGGCCTGGAGGGCCAGGACAGTAGAGCTCGCAAGCTGCAGATCCTCTTCCGCCAGCACCCACCCAGAGCCTCCTCTCCCAGGGGAGCTAGCAGGTGGCCTGTGTCTCTCCCCCTCAGGCTTGCTCCCATCACGACGACTGACACTCAGAGTGACTCAGTAGGGCAGAGGGGAACTGCCCCTGTGGGTCTCCAAGGCTGAGCCCTGTGGCATAGTGCTTGTGCGCTGGGCTGCCAATCAAAAGGTCAGAGGTCAAAACCATCAGCCACTCTGTGGGAGAAAGACGGGGCTTTCTCAGCTCCAGCAGAGTCACACTCTCGGAGAGTCACAGGGATGGTTCGACCCTGGCCTACAGGGTCACCAGGAGTTGGCATCCCCTCGATGGCAGTGAGGTTTTTGGTGAGAGCTCTTTATGGGAGCAGAAAGCCTCGTTCTCCCACTGAGTGGCTGGTGGTTTCCAACTGCTGATCTTGTGGTGAGCAGCCCAGCTTGCCACTCACCACACCCCCAGGGCTCCTCTTCTCCCCCAGGTGGGGGGTAGCTCTCAGGTCATCTCAGACCAGCAGTGGGCTCTAATAAGATTGACTCTTAAAAGAGAAGGTTCGATTCTCGTTCTTTTCAAGCGTGTTTGTTCTTCTCAGCATCTACAGAGACACTTTCTAACCATACACCAACCCCACTGCCTTTGGGTCCTTGTCCTCTCATAGCGGCCTGCTAGGACAGGGCAGAAGGGCCCCTGTGGGTTTCTGACACCATCACCGCTGACGGGAGTAGAAACCTTGACTTGCTCCAATGGAGCGGCTGGTGGTTTCGAACTGCTGACCTTGCAGGGAGCAGCCCAGCTCGCCACCATCAAGACTCCTTGGCCTTCCTTAAGCGCCCCCGCCTCCCCCAAATACAGTCCGTTCCCCACTCTGGACTTCGACTTGCCTGCAAAACCAAGAGTGTCCGGTCTTCCCGAGCAGAAAAACAGCTGGACGGCCAAGTCATCAGAAATGTTAACAATTGACTAGGCATCCCGGGAGGTTCGGGAGCAGGGCGGAATTCGATGAAGGACGCTCAAGGGCATTCCCGCCTGACTGGGAAAAGACGCATCTCCAGCTCCGACTCTCCCGCCATTTTGCAGGAGACGCTGGTGAATCTGGCCGGACTCCTGGTCAGCCTCTTGATGCTTCCCCTGGTGTCGGATCGGCCCAGGTCAGGTGGGGGCCCAGGGTGGGAAGGAGAGGGCCAGTGGGGCCTCGGTCTCGTTGACCACCATGCTCTCCGGCCGCAGCTTCAGCCTGGGCTGTTTCTTCCTGCTCACGGCCCTCCACATCTACGCCAACTACCGGGCTGTCCGAGCCCTTGTGATGGAGACCTTGAATGAAGGCCGGCTGGGGCTGGTCCTCACGCACTTCCTGCAGAGGGGAGAGGTGCCCCGCCCCACCTCAGCCAATCAGATGGAGCCGCTGTGGACAGGTGATCCCACCCCCTGGCCTCCAGTCTCTGTCTCCCAGGCTAACCCCTAGCCTGGGAACCCTGACTCCATCTTCCCACAGGCTTCTGGTCATCTCCGTCTCTGTCCCTTGGGGTCCCCCTGCACCGCTTGATTTCCAGGTGAGCGACCGGGGTCCCCCACCTCCAGCCTCACCTTGACTGCCACTCTTATTCCCCGCATGCATGCACATATGCCTTATTCCAGTGCACGCTGGCCTCCCATCTGTTCCATGGGGTACCCCGCCCCCCGGCTAGGGGAGCACTAGCCATGCTGTAACAGGGGAAGGGGAGTCGAGAGCGGTGCTGGGACCCACAGGGCTGATGACTGGACCCCGGGGACAGAGGGAAGGGAAGGAGGTGGGATGTGTCAGTGATGGGTGAAGGATGGACAGTTAAGAGTTAGGTGGCAGTTCCGGTGACTGGACAGTTACTGCTGCCTTTGCTTTCCCCTCCCCCACTGCTTGCCATTCTCCCCCCTCCCCCAGTATCTCGGAGCTGCAGCAGTTGACAGAGGGGCACCAGGAAGCCTACCTCCTTCACTGGGACCAATCACGAAGTGAGTGTGGGCTGGTCTACCAGCCTGCGACCCACCCTCGCTCCTCCAGCCCCAGGGCCCTCTGCCCTGGACCAGCCGGCCACAGTCCCGAGGCTGCCTGGTGTCCTGGGGGGAGCCCTAGACTAAGGCCCATACATGGACATTATGGCTGCTTTACTGAGGCACCCTAGTGGCGTAGTGCTTGTGCGTTGGGCTGTGATCTGAAAGGTCAGCAGGTTCAAAACCACCAGCCGTTCCGTGGGAGGAAGACGAAGCAGTCTCAGGAACTCACGGGCGGTTCTACCCTGTCCTTACAGGGTCGCCATGAGTCAGCATCGACTCCACTCAATGGCAGGTTTTTTGGGGGGTCACTGAGCTGCACGCCCCAGTGGAACTCCCTTTGCCCCTTTGGAAAACGAAGCTAGCCATTGCTGAACTCATTCACTCGCAGGGCAGGTGCGAGGGTCCAGGACAGAGAGCGGTTTCTGTAAGGGACCTCTAGAGGCAACACACTGGCTCTGATGAGATGCTGATCTTTGCTGGTCTCTGGGGACCCAGCCTGGAGCAGTCACCTTGTGGGAAGACTAAGTCCCCTGAGTGGGGACTGCCCTGGGAAGTGCCGTAGTCTCTCTCGATGATTCAGTGAGGGGCTTAGCTGCACATAAGGCCAGTCCCCACAGAGAGCTAGAAGTGAGGGCCCTGGGGATGAGAAAGAGATGCCACCAGCCAGCGGTCACGTGTTCAAAGGTGCAGGTTCTCTCTAGCCAGAAAAGATGTGGAAAATAACCGACCCCCATACGAAGTTGTCTTGGGAAACGGAACATCTCCATTTGGCCAGAGTGGTGGTGATCAGCCAGAGGTGAAGTTCTCAAGGAAAAGGGTTGGGGAGATGCCCTCTAGGGACAGACAAATGCAGCTTGGCGATGGGGTTCAGGGTGTTTGAGACAATGCCCTGCCCTGCCATCAGTGGGTTGCTGGGTCTTTTCAGAGCAGGCACAGGTGGCTCTGAGCCAGACAGCAGGCCCCGAGACAGTCCTGAGAGCTGCCACACACGGGCTGGTGCTTGGAGCCCTTCAGGGAGATGGGCCTCTCCCGCGAGAACTGGACGAGCTGAGGAGCCAGTATCAGGCAGGTAGGAGGCACTGCTGGTAGCTAGGTGGGTGGTGGAGTGGGGAACCTTCTCCTATGTTTCTGCTACCACCCGCACCCCCACCCTCAGGTTCTGGACAAGATAGCTGGGTCGCTGTCAAGGAGACACACCAAGTGCTGGACAAGCTGTTCCCAAAGTTCCTGAAAGGTAATGAACGACCCTCAGGAGCTCTGGCTCCTGTGGTTTACGCCCCATCCCTCCCCCCATCCCCATCACCTGGGTGAGCAAGTCCTTAGGCCTAAACTCTGACTCTGTTTCCCTGTCTGTAGCCTAGGGTGGTGTCTCAGGTTGCTTTAGTGCCCACAGTCTGTGGAGGGAAACGGGCGGGGCAGCGGGTAGAGCAGCCCCCCGGTTATCAATGTCCTTGCACTCGGCATCTCCTGCCGGCTCTTATGCATGTGTGATCTTAATGAATTCCTACTGCAACCAGATGAAGTTGTTGCCTCATTTTATGAGCTCAGAGAGGTCAAGAACTTGCCAAGAGGAGCACAGTAGTGCACAGAGCTGTCAGCCCAGGGTCTCCTCCCCAGCAGTCCCAGCAGCGCCCCACGGCCTCTCTTCCCAGGGCTGCAGGATGCCGGCTGGAGGACGGAGAAGCACCAGCTGGAGGTGGATGAGTGGAGAGCCACGTGGCCCCAGTGTCCAGCTAAGAAGGTGTTGTGAGCCACCCAGAAGGCGCCCAGGGCCCAGAACAGGAGCAAGGACACTGTGGCCACAGCAGCATGGATGAAGCGGCAGCTTTATTGGCTTTTGTAGGGCAACGACTATGGCTGGCCAAGTGACTGCCAGTCAGCTGGACTGGGCCCCGGACAGATACAAGGCTGAGGAAAGGGCACCCAGGGCCTTCCCCTGCTCCTGCCCTCACCCTCTTCTGTGCGGCCCTGACCCCACTCCTCGGGAGGCTGAGCCCCCACCCACTCATGGCTCTCTTTGTCCCACGTTGTGGCCTCAGGCGTAAAAGCCCCACAGGAACATGGCCACCGCCATCATGAGCAGGGCGTTGAGGTTGACCACGCGGGCCCAGCGTGGGTCCTCACTGATGTCCTCCAGTTGCCTGGCCGCTGCAGCAGCCTCTTCCTGGGTAGGGGGTGGGGGGCTACCTGCCCCACCCCCACTCATGCCACAGAACCAAAACAGGCACCGTCGAAAGAGACTTGGGGCCGGGGCCGGGGGCTCTGGAGAAATGGAGGCCTTGCAGTCAGTGAGAGAGCGGGTCTCTCCTGCCCCCCCCCCCATCGCCCCCCTCAGCAGAGCCCTACCCTCCATCTCCACTGCATGCTCCGGGCGCCCATTCTGTACAGGCGGGGAGGCAGGGACTTCAGGCTCCTCATCCGCATCCAGGTCCTCTCGCTCCTCCGTGCTGTGCCGGAGACTGAAGACCAGGCGGTGGAGCTGGGGGGGTGGGGGGGTGAGCAGAGACCAGGTGGGAGTTCTTCCCAACCCTCGGCCCTACTCTCTGTGGGCTCCTGCCCCAACCCTTGAGCCAGCTCGGCCCTGGGTACCTGCCTGGCAGCCACACACAGTATGGTCTTTCAGGGTTTGGCGTCTGTCTCTTTTTACCACCAATCACAGAGCCTGTTCTGAAGCCCAAAGGCCAAGCCAAGAATTGGCTTTGGGATGGTCAATCCCTAGGGAACACTGCAACCTACTACCCTCCCCCCTCCACCCCCATGCCCCAGGGGTCTTAAGGCCCACTTTTCCAAGATCACTTTGAATAAAGGACCTCTAACATCAACAGTTGTGCAGGCTCTGAAAAGTTCAAACTTCAGACCCACCACCTCCGAGCCGACCTTCAGTATGGAGAGACGCCCCAGCGCTGCCCCTGCCAAGCGCCCCTTCGTGCGGAAGAGAGGGGGCCTCCCCAAGGCCGGCGCTTACGTGTTTGCGCGGGATGGGCGCCGTGCACAGGGAGACCCCTAGGGTGAGGAGGGCCGAGCAGCAGAATAGCACGATGGCGAAGTAGAGGTAGTGTACGCCGCAGATGAGCGCCGGGCACGGCGAGGGCCGCACGCAGCTGCCCGAGCCGAACGAGAACTCGGGGATGAGCCGCGCCAGGCCCATCAGCAGGCCTCCGATCAGTCCCCAGAAGGCACCCTGCAGGGAGGAGAGCGTTGGTCTCCCCTAGGCGCACAAGGCCCTGCGCCCCGCGGGCGGCGCTCGCTCACCTTCTCATTGACGCGGGGCACGAAGAGCGCCAGCACGAAGATGGCAGAGACGGGCGGTGCCAGGTAGCTGGACACGGCCTGGATGTAATCGAAGAGCTGCCCGCCCTGCGCCGCCTGCACCACGGGGAGCCAGGCCACCGACACGGCCACGATGAACACCACCCAGAGCCTGTGGTGGAGCGGCCATCAGGGGCCTGAGCCACGCCTGCAGGCCCCTCCCGCCTGCCCGTGGCGGCCCCGCGGGGGACCCCGGCCCCACCGTCCTACGAGCAGCAGCTCGCGTTCACCGGCGCCCGGCCGCAGGCGCGTGTAGATGTCCATGGTGAAAAGCGTGCTGCTGCTGTTGAAGATGGAGGCCAGCGAGGACATGAGCGCGGCCAGCATGACCGCCAGCATGAGGCCGCGCAGACCTGCGGGCCAGAGCGGAGCGGTGAGCCCCGCGGCGCGCCCTCCCCGCCCGCAGGTTCCAGGTTCCACAGCAGGCGCCTGTGCCCGCGGGCCGGGGCCCCACCGCGCCCAGCCATCCTCACCCACCATTGGGCATGAGCTTCACAACCAGCCGCGGGTAGGCGATGTTGGAGCAGCCCACCTCCGTGCCACACACGCGCTTACACACCTCCGGCACCACGCACGCCACTTCATCTGTAGGCAAGAGGCCCACAGTGCCCCTGGGATGCGTTCCCCGAGGTGGGCACTCGGGGAGGGGAGGGAGGCAGGACCTGGCATCCCCCAGGCACCCTGAATCTTAAGACAGGAAAAGGCACCTGGGGCATTGGCAAGAAAAAGAATTTGCGGGAAGCCCCGGCTGGCGAGATGAACCTTACCAGGGTACAAGATGCGGCTGATCATGCCGGGCAGGACCATGAGAAACATGGGCATCAGCTTCAGATAGCCGCACAGGATGCAGCCCGCCTTGATGTGGGTCAGATTCTTCCCCGCCAGGCAGCGCTGTACTATGACCTGCGGGGACGGGCGCCAGACCCCCTGTGCTCAATCACCGAGGTTCCCCAGCCCCACCACCCCACGCTCAGCCGCTACTCGCCCTGCCAATCCATGCAGGTGGAGCCCCCGACTCAGCTGGGCCCCCAGGTCAGCTCCACCCTGGGGCCCTGGCCCTGGGATCCGGCATCCGGCTTGGTGGCCCACCCCCACGACCGCCCCTTGCCTGGCGAGAGGTGCTCCAGCCCCACCCATCGCAGCGTTGCTCAGTGGCTCGGGGTCCAGGCCCTGCCAGCACACCTGGTCACTGCACCAGTACCAGCCCGAGACGATGGTAAGGCCCACGACCAGCGCGGGCCACGGCAGGTCCCCTGTCACAGGGTCCCGAAGCAAGTGGTAGGAGTCCGGCCGGGGGCGGTAGCAGGCGCTGGAGATGTTGCCCACCGTAGGGTCCTCGGACACTGTCAGCGACGTCACTGCCCCCAAGTATTTGTCGAAGAGCCCCGAGTACCCTCCCACTTCATGGAAGGCTGTGTGAGCAAGGCTGTCAGGGGACCCAATGTCCACACCAGGGCCCACCCTGGGGCTCAAGTGCCGCCCAGAGCCTCAACCTCAGGCTCCTCCCACGGCCCCCTCCCTCGGCCCCGCCCCTCCCCTGGCTGGGCTCCGTACCATAGCCCATGAGGATCAAAGCACCCCCTAGAATGACGAAGGTCTGCACCGTGTCTGTGTACATCAGCGCCGCCAGGCCTCCTGAAAAGGGCCCGGGCTCAGCCGAGAGAGGCCAACTCGTGATTTCACATGCAGCCCGCCCCTATCACATCCGCTGTGTGTGTGAATTTGAACGAGGTGCCCCTTCCTGCAGACGATCCATTCTCTGGTCCACTGAGCCCGGGCACCGGGAAGCCTGGCGAGCCGAAGCCTGGGCTACAGGGAGCCGCCCTTGGCCAGGCACCCACCAGGCTCCTCTTAGGCCTCGGTTCTCTCCTCTTCTTATAGGAAGCCCTCATCCCAGTTCTATCCCATCCACAGGCCGGACCCTTCAAGCCCGCCAGCGCCTGGCCGCGTCCCCGATCTGGATCTGGAACCCCGGAACCACAATGGGTTTGGCTAGACAGCCCACTGCCAGGTGCTCAGAAGCTCCTCACTCTGCCTCGTGTCCCGGTCCCCACCACCCCCCCCAGATCCACGCGGGAGAGAGAAGGGAAGTTTGTCCTCCAAAGGGGCTGACCCCCTCCTAGCTGAACTTCTTTGGTGACGCCCCTAAAACCCACCCACAGCCGCCCGGCTCCCAGCCCCCTCCCCAGTCCTAAGCTCTCCCGTGGCCACCTGTCACCGTGTAGATCATGGTAATGCCCAAGAGCGCGATGACGGAGGCGTAGATATTCCAGCCCAGGGCCTGCTGGATGAACACCGCTCCGGAGAACATGTCCACCTTGAGAGAGGGAGACAGCGCGCAGGTGAGGACGCAGGGGCCAGGGCCACCTCCTGCCCATCAGCCCACATTCCGATCTGACCACGCTCTCGAAGGCGTCCTGGCTTCGCAGGCTCCACACAGCCCCAGCCCCAGGGACCCCCGCCCTCCCCTCCTTCCAAACCCTGCCCCCCCCCCCCCCCCCCCCCCCCCCCCCCCCCCCCCCCCCCCCCCCCCCCCCCCCCCCCGACTTCTCCTGCCCTCTCAGCTCTAGACTGGTCTGCCCTCCGGTGGGGTCAGCTCCTGTAGGGCTTCTGAGGCTGAAAGCTTAGACGGGAAGATCGCCAGGTCTTCTCTCCCGCTGTGCGCTTGGAGGGTTCGAACCGCCCACCTCTCACTGGCAGTCCCACGAGTCACCAGGCCCCGCCCCCGGAGGCGGTCCCGCCCACCCCGGCCGCGTCTGCGCGGGCTCAGCTCACCGAGATCTTGGTGAAGATGTACAGGAAAAGCGAGAGCACCGACAGGTAGAGGCGGATACGGCGGCCGCCGAAGCGCTTGCGCAGGTACTGCGGCATGGTGATGACACCCGCGGTCAGGTACACGGGCACGAAGAGCCAGCCCAGAAGCAGCACCACGAAGAGCGCCTGCGGGCACAGCGGCCAGGGGTTGTTGGGTGCGGGGGTGACTCGGGGTTTCAGACCGGGCCTCAAGAGCCCTTCACTGTCCCCCCTGCCGAGTCTGAGCGGCCTTCTCTTCGTGACCGTGGGCCTGGAAAGGGGGGCACCAGGAGTCAAGGGTGAGGGTAGGGGGTGGGGGGGAGGGCGCAACTGCAGACCTTTTTAAGTTCAAGAACAATCTTCCTTGAGGCCTTAGCCCCCATGCCCTTCCCAGAGCCCCAGACCCAACATCACCTCTTTCACCCACACTCAGCTAGACTTTTGAGAACGGGACTGAGTCAGCCCCTGCGTTCTGGCTAATTCAAACGGATTGTTGCTGACTCTTGGGCAGTAATGGGAGGACAGGGTCTTGACTCCTTCCTGGCCCTTAACCAGAACTCTCTGGGCCACTGTGACCGGTGGCCAGTCCCTCAAAAGGCAGTGTCCTCCTCCTCCTCTTCTTCCTCCACTCCCTGCCGTATCTCTGGCACGTGAACCTCAGAGCCCTCAGCCTGACCCCAGGCTCAGCCAGGCAGGGCCATCTCCCTTCTTCCCACCCTCCTAAACGTCTGTCCTTCAAGGCTCAGCTCCGAGCCCCCTCCTCCATGAAGCCCAGAGCCCCAAGTGCTGGGCTCCTGCAGCCACCACGTTGCATCTCAGTCTGGGATCCTCGTTCAAGTCAGGGGCTTCCATGCCCACCACCCCTTTCAGGGAGCAGCAGCATTAAGGAGCGGGTGTCCTGTTTAGGGCCACTCACCTGCTTCAGAGGAGAAAAATCAAGCCCAAGAGGGTAGTGGCACAACTAGAGTCACACAGCTAATCAGCGACAGGACCTACCCTTGTCCCGAATGGCATCATCTCCTGCATCGCCCACCACTGAGCGGGCTATAGGGACACTCCTCCCCAGCTCAAATTTGGAAACCCACCTCCAGCCTCGTTACTTCCCACTGCCAGGTATGGTCCTCCCAAGAGTTCCCACTGGGGCAAGGTGAAAGCAGGGGATGGGGGTGGGGCTCTTACATTCCACTCAAATCCAGCCACAGCCAAGCCACTTGCCGCACCTGTCCCGGCGAGGCCCACAAAATGACCGCTGCCAATGTTGCTGGCAAACAGAGAGGCCCCCACCTGGGGGGGCGGGCAGAAG